GGTTTTGAGATGTGGGACAGCTAGGAGATTAGGTCATGAAGCTGGGGCCCTCCCCAATGCAATTAGTGCCCTTAAAAACAACAAAAGAGGCCCCAAAGAGGTGAAAATGAAGGAAAAAGGCACCATCTAAGAAGCAGAATAGCTCTTACCAGACACCCAATCTGTTAGTATCTCGATCGTAGACTGCCCAGCCGCCAGAATGGTGATAGGTACATTTCTGTTGTTTATAAATCACCTAAAGTATTTGCTTATAGGATCCTTAAGTGACCAAGGCAGAAAGCCACAGCTTGGCAGCAGTGAGAAGCCTGGGATTTGGCACAAAGTAGTGGCTGAGAAATTAGGAACAACAAATGGAGGCAGGACTGGTGGTACTGGTGGCTGACTGGACTAGGGACAGAAAGGGAAACTGAGGATACAAAGGTAAATCTGCGGTTTTGAGCAGCAGCCACTAGCAGGTTAGTGGTGTCATTTGCTGATTTGAGGAAACCTGTGGGGTGACTGAGGGAGGACGCTGGGAATTCAACTTTGTGAAAATTCTGAGTTTGAAGCACGTAGTGGACGCTGTTGTACGCTACACAGACGCCCCTTTAAGACTAAGGCACTCATTCTCCTGTTGCCAGCAGTGGTGGTTTCGCTCAGAAGGTCTGTCCCCACACACTGCTCTCAGTGAGTGGCCTCTCAGGATCACACCCCTGCCTGGGATGTACGAAGCCTTGCCTCCTTGTTCCTGCTTGGGGCAACTCGGAAAGGCCATTCCCAGGCCACAGCTCCCTGTGCTCCTGGCCGAGCTCTTCCTGGGACTGCATCTGGGTTCCCTAGCTCCCATCCCAGGTGTCTTTTCCTCTCCATCGTGGTATTCTCGAGGGCATCATGGTGTTCGCGGTGAACCTCTTGTGCACAAACCTCCATCTCAGAGACTGGCTTCTGAGGTTGTGGAATAAGGTGGTTGGTTCTTGGACTGGCCTGAGAAAGCAGACCTTAAAATAAGACTTTGAGGCAGCAGGAACCCACCAGCTGGACACTAGAACCCGGCTCAGGAGGCAAAACTGTGTCTTTTTTTTTTTTTTTTTTTTACCAGCAATGATGATACTATCACCGCTGGTGCATTTGGATGACGTAGAGAAATAGATATAACAAGGTCATGAAATGATGTGGCAGAAAGTTAGTGATGTAACGAACACAGATGATGAATAAGTTGCTGCTGATCAATCACTCATTAAAGGTGAAATGGGAAAGTTAGCCACACTTTCATAACAGGAGGTCAGAGAAAGCTAAGGGTCAGGCAAGATTTTAAGGACTAGGACAGCTGCAGAGAAGGTACATGTGCCCTTGGCCCCAGCAGGTTGGTTAACTCCTGGTCAGGATCCTGATTAGGAAAGGGGGGGGGGGCTTTAAAATTTGGATGGGATTATTAGGTCACTGCCCTGAAATCTATGAAGCCTCAGTTTTCTGGAATCTTCCCAGCCTGAGAAGCGGCTCTTACCTATGAATGCTGTCACTACTTCCTTGCTGGATGATGACGCTCGGACTTCCTCCTTGTCAAGTAACATGAGTCCCTCAGAATTTGCCTCACTGACCTCCCACCTGGCTACCAGATAGACAACCAAGTCACAGCATAACCAGCCAGAGAAGGGAAGGCCTTAGATACCAAAGGCACAGCAAAATCTGACCAAAACGTATCTGCGGACACTGTTGGAGTGTGTGTGAGACCCCGTCTGGGACAGGGGAGTCTGGTGGCTTGCTCTCCATGGCCTGAACTCCCTGGCAACGCACCGGAGACACAGGGCACAAGGGATCTTGGGGAAATGGGTGGCCACACAAAGGGAAGTTGAAGTTCTACGGCAGGTGGAGGAATAGGCATCAACGCGCCCACCCAGAGGATGAGAGACTTTGATAACTGAAGCAGGGTTGACCTAATTATCTGAGTGAGTGCCCCGGTGAGGCTAACAGCAGTGGAGGTCCTGACCTGTCCCCAGGTTTGGGGATCATGACCAGAACCAGCAAGTAGGGCGGGATCGATGGACAGCCCATGAGGATCTAACTCAGTTTACATCGAATGCTCCAGAGTAATCATACTGTCAAGTCACAGCGTCTTCTCCGTTTCCATTCTGGGCTCGTGTTCACGCCACAGTCCATGCACTGAAGTAGAGGCTCGGTCCTAGGAAGGGAAAGGTCACAGACAGTCTGCACCAACCTTTCCCCAAAGGGCTCTTCAGTCATTTACTTGAAACGTACACAGACATTTAGAGCAGCTGTGTCCAACCTTTCCGGCACCAGGGACTGGTTTCATAGAAGGCAGTTTTTCCACATAAGTGGTGAGGATGGTTTCTCTGTTCGAGTCTCATAAATGGGGCGCAATCTGCATTCTGTGCATGCAGGCGTCCTAGTGTGGTCTGTGCTTCTATGAGAATCTAGTGCTATCACCGGTCTACCAGGAGGCAACGCTCCGGCAGTCATGTGAGAGACGCGGATACAGATGAAGTTTGCTTGCACACCTGCTACTCTGTGTTCCCAGGCTCTTCACAGGCCACAGGCCAGTACCTTGGGTATGGGGACCCTTGATTTAGAGGACTTGCACACAGAATCCAAGTTCATATTGGTACCCTGGACCCAGGGTAAGGGTCTTTTAATGTGAAGGAGATATGGTTTACATAATTGGGTCCTAGTCCAGATTTTGCTTGGCATAGGTCTAGTGGGGGAAAACTGCCAGTGGTCATTTTTCCTGTCTCTGTATGGCCAGTGTGAATGGGTGAACTCAGTCCTGGGCATGTGGGATCAAGAGCTGTTGCAGAAGGAAGGCCAAGTGGAAGGCTCTGAAGCTGCCTGCCTTTTTCCAGGCAAGAGAGTAAATGGGACTGATATTGTAACCCAGTAAGAAATAGCACATTTTGTTTATCTGCCCCCTGATAGTCCTGGAAATTGAACCCAGGACCTCTCACATGCTAAGTACCAGTTCTGCCACTGAGCTAAATATCCCCAGCCCCAAGAATGGTGTGTTTTTTTTATTTTTTTTATTTTGAACATACTGCATGAGGTGTTTATTTGATATAGAAAACTCCTGAAGTGTTTTTCATCAGAACAATCCTTATATGAAGGATCTAAGTAATCTGGGAAAATCCTCTAGAAAATTTATCTGCCTGACTACTGTGTAGTCTCAAAAGGCTCTCCAAAATTTTGAGTAGGATTATCATACTCTGCAATAAAATGTTTGAGTTCTTCAACACATGGATCACCTATTTCCTGTAAATTCGGACTCTGTAAACTGTATAGCCTTTTCTAGAGAAAGATATTAAGCTTTGCTCAAACTTCTCACCACCATCCCGAAGGTTTGCCTATGTTGTCCGTAAATCTGATCAAGCTCTTTCATTTTCTGTGCGATTGCTGTTGAGTGACTGCTGAGATGTTCCTCTTCCAATAATTCTGGGCTGCCTGCTGTGTGGGTCTCTGGAGCCTCTGGCTGGTTAGTGAGGAACAGCGCTACGGTTGTAGCAGGAACTCAGAAATCCCAGGCAAGTTGCTCTCCTCTGACCTCTGGAGGTTTCCCTGCCCCCTTTCTTACAGCCACGAAGGGATCCTTTATAGTTAGCTTGCTGGGTTTATATAGCACCACTGGTGATGGACCTGCTGTCGCACTTGCCAGTGAGGTGTATCCTGATGCTGGCTTTTTTTTTTTTTTTCTTTTTACATTTTAGGGAAGGGTCTACAGGGTGTTCAGGGTCTCACTACTACATCAGACTTGTAGTGATCCGCCTGTTTACAGCCTCCCAAGAGCTGGGATTACAGGCATGCACCACCACGCCCAGTCTCAATGTCTCAGTGTGCCCTGGGGGTGGGGCCGGCACAGCAGGCCCAGGGATTGAATCCCTGGCCCCTATGCCTGCTTGCAGGCACTTTAATCCACTGAGCTATTTGGCTGGTCCTTCTTGATGCTTTCAAAGACTGTCCCTGTCTCTTTTTATTTCCAAGGAATGGCATATTTTCATGTCACGTCTAAAGAGCTAAAGAATGAAGCAGTGCCTAAGGTCCCCATCATATTCCCATGTAACTTAGCAACCTGGCTTCAAAATACAGGATGGGTGCTGCCGGTAACAGTAGAGCACCACAATCTTAACTAAGAACCCCAAATGCAGTACTGTGCCAGGCGTGGGCTCTTTGTGAGGGAAACCAACATGGTTCAAAGTCACGGAGTGTGGCCACTGACTAGAAGATGCATTCTTTTGTATCCCAGTGAAGAAGGGACATCCCATCGGCTCACATCTGGGGCAGACAACAGTATCACCCCCAGTGTCATCCCCGTTTTCCCCAGGGTTGATGTTGACCCTCCCACTCTCTGCTATGAGGTACCTTGACTGTACTGTTGTCCCTCTGTAGAATCACCTGAATTCTCCTCATTGTGACCTCCTTAGACCAGAAAAGCAAGAAGTGGCAAGTGAACTGGGGCATGCAGTAAAGACACATACATCCTACACGGTGAAATTTTTAGGAGACCAGGGATGCGGAGTGTGTCAGGACGTTCTCCCTGGACACTGCTGAACCTCGCCACAGGTCCCGAGCTGGGACAACTCTGATGGGCCAGCCTGGGGCTACGTTCCAGCGGAGGCTGAGGAGCTCCTTTGGGAGAGGGCACAGTGCGCATAGTTTAAATGTCTTGGGTCTTGGAAAGAAAGGAGAGAGAATGAGGATGTGGGGCCGAGCTGCAGCTACGCCATCACCTAGAAGAGCAGTAGGGAGGAGGGAGATGAGGAGGGAAAAGGCAGGAACTGGTGGTGCTGCAGGAGCCAGGCCAAGAGGTGGAGCCAAAGGAGAGGGCTGCCTCGCTGGACAAGGGTATGTGGCTGTGTCTATGCAGCCCGGTCCTGCAGTCAGGCTGTCATGTGGGCCCAGAGCAGGGGGCGAGGGCCAGGAGAGGGCGAGGGCTCAGGCAGGGGGGTGGGGAGACGGGAGGCTGCACGTGGGAAGTGAAGGCGCGAAGATTCCAGGGCCAGCACTCGCGGCTGTGTCGAGAAGGTCAGTCAACAAGCACACACCGGAAGTCCTGACCTTTCCTTCCTCAGAGCGCCTGCTCTCTTCTCTCCACCCATTTCCGGTTGTGAGGTCGCCTGGCCCGTCTGCACAGCAGAGCTGTGTGAGCTCCGTAAGTCGCTTATTCCTTTGTGATCCTGGCAAATCTATGAAGCACGGGGTGCATAACAGTAGCTCACTCGCCATCTGCTGAAGGGCAGCAGTCAGGCAGCTGGAGACCAGAGCGGTCCCAGAAAGGGGAACATGCTACCAAGTGGCAGGGAAGGTGACAGCTGCGGGGAAAGAACACAGACTCCAGGCTTCTTGGTGCTGTGCTGCGAGTAGGACTTGAGCTCTGGGGTTCACCCAGGAGGGGGAGAGGTGTACTTCCCTGAGTCCCCCGTGTTCATGGCATTAAGAGGGCAGGGACTAACCTGGGACTCTCACAGCTGCGAGTAAAACCTCTCTGTAAAGTCACCTGCTTCAGGTGGCTCAGTCATGAAAGCCAGACCTAGTGACCAGGGGACCGTGGGCAGTCCATTTTTCTATTACATTGAATTTATTCAGTGAAATTTCTCAGTGCCACTGCCACCCTGATAGGGAACTTATCGAAGTCCTTGGGGACACCTGATGCTTTCTCCTGCTGGCACAAGGAAGTAGGGTGCCCCTCCCCTACCTGGCCGTGACATCCCTATTCCAAGTGAGGCTGGATGGAGCCGAGTGGCCATGGCTGTCCCGGTGGTGAAGGTGGGTGCCCTTGTGAGATTCCTAGTCCTGGGAGGTACGCATGTCAGGCCTCCTGGAGGAGGAAGCTGGCAGGGGAAGGCGTACAGCTGGGGAGCCCAGACAGAAGAGTGGGCACCTGCTGTGGCATAGCAAGGCCTGTTGGAGGTCCCCCAGCGTGGGTCACTCACACCCATGGAACATGGACTGCTCCGCCAGGGAGGTGGCGGCTCTGTGCTGGAGGCCTGACGTGCGGACAGCTGCCAGCCCTTCACGCCCCACCCAGGGTTTCACAACCACACAGGGACAAGGCCTGGCATGGAATGATTCGTTACTGCCCGCTCAGGGACAAGCTCCACCTGCCAGAGCTGCATTTGCCAGTGACCTCTGACTCAGGCTGCAGCTGTGGTGAGCAGGCGCTGGCTTCCTGCAGCAGGCCAGGTCTGGGCGGGTGACCCCGTAGCAGGGAGGGACACAGGCGCCTCCTGTCAGCTGAGGACTGGCTTTCATTTGTTACCTCACAGACAGCTCAAAAATGTTATGGAAAAACATTTTATTATACATGTTCAACTTGGTTCCAATGAAATGATTAATTTTTCATGTATAATGGCATCCAATGTTTGTCATTTTTTTCTTTCAAAACCAGCACCAAAAACTAAAACAAAACAAAACAAAAAAATACTATGGGTACAGTACATAATGTCAGTTAACTAATGGAAAATATATACACTGGACTCTGCAATGAAGAGAGAGCGCAATGAGGATTTGTTCCTGTCCTCTGGTGGTAGCAAGCCATGGTCAACCAAGAGGCTTTCGTTTGCACCAATTAAAATAGCACCATAAGATCACAAGATGCTGATTAGTGACACATCTGTGTGACCACAAAGGTACAGTACTAGAGTGACAGTGCAGGACATCCTTAACACACAAACATCACAGAGCAGAGCAAGAATGTCACCATGGTGTCTGGCTGGGGCCATTAGCAATGACAATGTCAGCACGAGCTAATGGGGCTGAGGAGAACCATAGGGTGTTTGGTAATAACTGAATCATGTTCATTCTGAGGGTGCAGGGCTCCTGCTGGGAAGTCCAGCCGGGATGGCCACGTGGGCGACTCAGGGCCCTGGGGACATGCCCAGCGTGGGTACATGTGTTCTCTTGGCCCCTTCAGCTGACTCCTTCGGACCAAGCAAGGAAGACCTCTAGGACTCCGGCTCTTGGCTGCAAACTGCTACTGTCTCCCGGTGAACAAACAGCACATTCTGAGCTGGGAGAAAACTGATCTCCCCTGGCTCTCTAGAATTTGAAGGTTTTGTGGAAGCGGGTTTGAGGAGTCAGCCAGGAGCCGCTTCACACTGGCCCCCGGGTGTCAGCTGGCAGCTTGCCCTGTAGGTGGCGCCTCCATCTCCATTCCGACATTGTCTCAGTTGATTCCACAGAGCACCCAGAGAGTGTTCCCAGCACTTGTGATTCAAGCAGAACCAAATAAATTCCCTGCCATCCCTCCCCCTTCTCTGCTGTGGGGTAGTGAAAATTACAACAAAACAGCACCGATAAATCAAGAAGCACTTGGAGACTATTCCATGGAATTGGCCCAAGGAAGAGTCTGAAACCAGGGAGGAGAAGGTGGGTTTCTCCAGGTAAAATGTCAAAAAGAACAAAAGCACCCATGAAACGCCCACCAGGTAGGTGAGCAAAACAGGCCTCCAGGGGCCCCACTCCCACTGGGCCAGGCTTCCTGGGCAGCCTGTGCCCCACAATCCACTGCGCTCTCCATGAAGCCACCCTGACTGTCCCCTATGTAGTGGACAGTCATTTCTCTGGCCTCCTAGACGTGGAAGACCTCTGGGATGAGGGAACTGAAAGAACTTCATGTCTTCTGAGTACCCTCCTTGCCTCACAGAAAATGGGTCATTAGTGACAGCCTGATAACAGGGGCCATGGAGCCTGGGCTGGAAGACGCCATGGTGGATGTGACCCCTGCAGCAGGCAGTGTCCCTCCACGGGTCTCGGCACTCCATGCAGGAGGACGCCTGCCTCGCAGCACACAGGCTGTGTCCTCAGAGGTTCAGGTAAAAGGCCAAGGTCCTTGGTAGGGTTTGTGAGGTGCAACACAGAGTTTGTGAGGTGCAAAGCTTCGCAGCATGCTGGCTGGGGTGGCTGGCTGTCCCCCAAGACAGAGCGTGAGGGCGGCTTCCCCTGACAAAGCTGTGCTGAGCTCACCTGTGTGAGGAACCAGTCCCATCACCACAATTAGCACACGTCCCCTTTCACAGCACCTTGGAGAGGCTCTTCTTCCCCTATGTAGCAGACAGCAGAGTTTTGAAGAGTAGATGGCTCCCCAGACCTTCTGGAATGTTCTCCCCATAGAGATGGCATGGAGACCTACATGGTGCTGGCATTCTCCTTGGTCTATGCAGATTTAAATTCTCAGGGATCAGACTTGCAAGGCAAGGCCCAGGAGTTGGGAAATACATGCATGTTCTTGCAGATGGGTGGAGAGGCAAAATAGTATTTGTCAGAAAGGTAGATTAAAAGGGATGTGGGCTCTGGGAGTGCAGAGCAGCCATCAGCAAAGGCCGTCTGCCATCTCTCCTTCCATCCATGGAACTGTTGGCGTTCAGAGCAAAGCCTCTTCTGACTTACAATGTCTCATTTTCAGGATGTGCCCCAAGGGCAGGAGGACCAAACTCTCTCTTTTGATAACTGTGCCAGAGGGGTTCCCCTTTGAGGTACACGAATCTTAGAAACTACAATTATTTTGTGACTCCTGCCTATTTTTTCCTGGCTGCAGCAAGCCATCCAGTGGCTGTTAATATATTAAGTACTAAAGGCGCTGTTAAAGTCCACTCTCAAGTTCTAAGCAGTTGGATTCTTGGGCTTCCTTAGGGGGTATATTTTGGGGAGCCTGGCTGCAGGGCTGGTGTGCTTTGGTGGCTGGTGTGCTCTCCACTTACTAAAAGCCAGGCTTCAGACTGCAGTCTGCCTGTGAAGCAACTACTGGGCCATGCGTCATGAGCTGGGCGGCGAAGGTGGCTGGCGCATCTTGGTTGCATAGAAGTCCCTACAGGTCTGGCAGCAGCGCTGGTACCACCTCATGTCCTGGCACAGGTTCTTTTCTCGGATGACCCGGCAATACACTGTCCACTGGTCCCGTGTGCATTTGTAGGTCAGCGCAGCTAGGGCGACAGTGGAAAGCAGGAACGGGTCACCATGCATCCTTAGAGATGGCCTATGGTCTGACAGTCTGCAGCTGCCCACTTCCTGCTACAGTTGTTCCAACTGGAAGGCTGGAACTGCCATAGCCACGTACTTGGTCATTCTTGACCCCCAGTCTCACGTCCCCCGCTTTTCCCATTGTCCCACCTAAGCGCCCAACCCTATCCATAAGAGACCCAGCTGCATAAGCTGGGCTTGGATTCTCCTTTGGAGTTCCTCTAGGATGTCCCACCTGGAACCTCTGAATTCAGGCTAGTTGTGTTCTTTACCAGGCTGTTTACCTCATAGTGGTGCCAAAAACTTGGGAGGCAGGGGTGTAGAGCCCTCCTGCCCCAGTGTGTGGCTCCCCACCTCGACCCCTTTCAGACAGCAAGAACCAGTGGCCTCATTGCCTCCTTTCCACCTGAGACCTTTTCCTGGTGTCTCTCCTATCTAAATCCCACCGCTCACCATGGGAGGAGCTGCCTCTGCCCTCCTAAAGACCCTTCCACAGGTGCTGCCTCAGTAATGGTCTCAATCCTATATGAAGCCTACATGCCTCATCCTTCCCCTTAACATGGTGAGGTCATGTTACAAGCTCTCTTTGGCCAGGATGTGGTTTGTTCAACTTTAGAGCCTCTCTGACCTTGACTGCTTTCTCCAGAGCTCAGACAAATGGGACAAGGCCCCCAAAGATCAGGCCTTTGCTGCCTTCTGCTCTTGCCTGAGCTTTTATTCGTTCTGTTCTACCTGATGCCACCCCATACCCGCCATCGTCCTCAGACTCTTCTTTATACAAAAGCTTCCATTCCACAAGCCAGCCCCACCCCTGCCCATGACAGGACTTCTTCCTGACAGATCACTCCTGCTGAGGCTGCTGAAGCCCCGCCCCCAAGCCCTCTCCTTCCTCTCACATCCTCTGCAAGAGATTGCTGGCCTTAATGTCCCTATCACGTGCCCCCCACCCAACCTCTCCCAGCTAAAACCTCGCCTTAGAGTCAAACCCCTCATGTTACATTAAAAAATTCCCTCCTCTCCCTTGTATCTTTGACCTCATCTGATGAGATATCAATGAGGTCAATCTCATCAATAATCTCCTGGATTAGAGACAATGACTGGATGATGACCACCCCTTCAGCCCAGGAGGTCCACACCCAAAATAACCAAGACCTTGAGACAGTTCTTAGACAGGCCCCTAGATGGAGCCACAAGCCCGGTCACAGAGATGGGAAAACACCACAGCTTTCTCCAATATATTCTCACCAGTCCAAACAGGGCTCTCACTACATCTATCAACTCTGACAAACTCTGAGAGATGTAGCAAACATCCAGCCCAATTTATGGCCTGCCTAGCAAAAGCTCTCAAGGCCTGTACTGGCCTGGCCAGCTTTTCTTTAAGACTGACTTCATTTCTCAGTCTGCCCCCACACATTAGAGCCCAACTCAAATAATTCGAGAATGGTCCTCAGACCCAGACCCCTGACTGGTCTTATGACCACTGCCTCAGCATCCATCAGAGTGGAAAGCGTGACAGGCCTCCAGCACGAACCAGGCCAATTACCCAACGACAGTCTGAACTCCCTGGGCCTAGTTTTCTGTGAGGCAAAACAGGGCACTAGGCAGAGCAACGCCCAAATCCATAGCACCCCAACCCTATCCACTGTGCAGCTTAAAGGGCTACTGGAGGGTGGACTGTGCCCATGCCAAAAGGAAGATGAAGCCACCACTACTACTCACCGCCTGCTGACTTAATGGGTCCTGTTTAGTAGCCAAAGCCTGGCAGGACCCCCCAGCCATCACCGCATGAGAGCCCAGGCTAACTCTTGGGGCCGAGGGTCTCTCTATGTCCTCTCTCCCCACACTGTGGCCACTTATATTCTCGGGATCTACACTTTAATATCTGTGGGAGCTGACGTCAGCCTTTTCATCCCTTAAAATTGCTCTGTCTCTCCTGGCGCTTGTCCCCTGTCCCACTCTGCTCCTGGGACAAGACTTCCTCCTCACGCTCTGGGCAACATCTTCCCCAAGCCTCTCCTTCCTCTCACATCCTACCTGCTCTGCATTACTCCCCTCCAACTCTCCCTGCTCCTCTCCAGTCCCTAAGACCTTTTCATCTTCATTCACAGCAACCCCAACTCGGGCTGTGCCGCTCACCTCACTTCGGCAGCCCTCCCTCATGCCGCCAGGCTCTCAGCCGCCATGTTGGCCAGATGCCACCTCTCAACCACAAATCCTAGTCAGCAGCCCCTCTCCAAGGCTGTCACTCGCACAGCTCTCATGCCTTGGCCAGGCGGACCCTCTGCCTCTGGGGTCTTAGCTTTGGCCTTAGAGCCAGACTGCTGTTAAAATGCCTCCCCATCGCCCCACACTCTCACGCTCTCCCTGGACCAGCTTGCCATTCACAGTGGCCTTCAAACTGTGTACCTTGATCTCAGCCACTTTTCTAATATACATCACAACCCCGTCCCACAGCCAGCTAGTCCTTGGCTCATAGATAAAAGCACTTGCTGTAGATAAAAATGACCATGTGGTGCTCTGACTCTGGACAAAGGAGACCAAATCACCCTGCCCCCACCACCTCAGAACAACAAAACACTCAGCCCTAACCCCAACACTTACCCTCCTTTCCTCTTGGGATTCTCACTCTCACCCAAACTCCAAAAGGCCCCAGCCAATCCTGCTTTTTCCCTTGTGCCCAGAGCTCAGCCATGAAGCTGCACCATCCCTGGGCACACTACGGCCCCTGGCCTTCTGCATGTGCCAGCTCAGCAACCTGCAGGCCTGAGTCCTTTGGAGCCAGCATTCGACCGTCCCTTTCCTCTGGGCCCCATCCCCCCTGCTCATTCCCTAACAGGTTCCCCCAGTTACTTCAGGGCCTTAGCATCCTCTGTCATGTATGTACTATCTGCTCCGGTGGACTTTACGCACGATTCCTCTCCCCTTCACCCCATGCCCAGCAGGTCCTGCTCAGAACCCCCCCTCCAAACTCAAGAGCGCCATCTCCCACATGCTGCTTCCTGCAGGTCTCTCCCAGAAGGCTGCCCATTCTCCTGGCTCTCTGGCTCACGTTACCTCGTGCATACATCCTCCTTTCCCCAGCCTCAGCCTCACTCCCTGGCTCCACAGGGGGGTCTTCAGAGCTCACGCGCACACCCCTCAGCTTCCTCGCCTTCTGCCTGCACTGTCCATTCATCCCCCAGTGTGTTGCCTGTTGTTCCCCTCCTAATAGGAGTCACGGCAGCCACCCTGCTGCGCCAGCCCAGGCTCCCTAAGAATCTCCATTCACCATCTCTGAGCTCTGTCTGACTAGGCAGCCTAACGTCTCAAACAAACAAAGCTCTCTGACCTTCAAGCTGACCACTGCAGTTCCCAACTGAGGACAAGGAAGATCCACTGTTGGAGCACAAGCCCCCTCTTGCCCAGGCTGCTCCCAAGGGTCAACGCCTTGGCTGCCCACGGCGTGGCCTGGAAGACACCAAGCAGGCTCATGCTGGCACAAGCCACGAGTCACCTCCCTAAGCCCAAAAGCCCTCAGCCCTGAGAGAGGTGCTTTGAAACCCCTCCTGCATGAGGGAAAGGAGTTTTGGGAAGAATATATTTTTAGGGATTCCTATGTGGAAATGCAGAAACTGAAAATAATTTACCAGATCAGTATTGTAGTTTAGATCTTTTTGTGGTACCAGGGATTAAACTAGGGACCCTGCACTTGTCAGGCAGGCATTTATGCCACTGAGCTGTATCCCCAGCCCTCAGATCAGTATTAAATGTTCATCCTCCTTCCATCCCCCCACCGGCTTGGAGCATGGACAGGTGAAGGGCAGGTCCTGGCGCCACTGCAGCCTGCCCACTGTGTGTGCCTGCGTCCCACATGGCCCGCCTCATGACTGACTTCCAAGATCTTTCATTTCTATAAAGAAGCACCTCGCTCCACCTTCACCATGCACAGGAACACTGATCCATTTTAGGGGTGCTGTCTCTTGTGGGCAGAGGGGCCAGTGGGATGCTGAAGGGACTGTATGTGATACTGCAGTCCCTTCCATTCTTGAATTATCTATGTTTTTTTGAGACATAGATAATAGATCTTGCAAAATTGATCAGGTAGGACTCTAGGTTGAGATCCTCCTGCTTTAAGCTTTAAGCTTCCTCTTCCACAGAAGTGGCAAGTGTCAGCCTCTCCGAGGCTCAATGAAGGTGGCTTTCTGGCTTACAGAACTCCACAGCCAGCAGGACTCATGGTCAGGGGACACAGCAGCCCCTGGAGACCAGAACCAAGGGAGGTACTCACCCAGGCGAGGAGAAGTGATAGTGTTGACATTGATCTTGTCATTGCAGACCTCCTGGTGACACTGCCTGTAGGCTGCTGGCTTCGAAAGTGTGGGACACTCACTGCCGTGACGCCCGGTGACCTTGTGCATGCACTGCACCACACGGGACTGCAGCCCCTTCCCGCAGGTGGATGAGCACTGCAGAGACAGGGACAGTCTGAGCCAAAGGGCTGGAACGGGGCCTCTGCGGTGACGCTGCCCCTCACCTGGCTCCTGTGTGTCACCCCCAGGTGCTCGCAATACTTGCAGGGCACTTAGACTAGCTGCCTGCCGGAAGAACGTTTCACCATGTAGGGACTCCAGGTTTGTGTCCTGTTCCCAAATTCATGAGATGCCCTACCCCAAAGTGGGATATTACTAGGAGGGAGTGGTTTTGCAAAGTGATTGGGTTAGGTGAAGCCAGGATGGTAGGACCCTTATGCTGGCATCAGAACCCTTACAGGAACAGAAAGATTGGCATGGTTGCTGTACCATGCAAGGATACAAAAAGACAGTGTCATGGAGCACAGTCCTTGCCACCCACCAGATTCCGTGGCATTTGGACCTTGAACTTCCAACCTCAGACCTGTGTGAAATAAAGCCACCAGTAGTGACAGCAGCCATGCTAAGATGCAGACTGATGAAATAGTCATTTGCCCTGGTTGCATTTCATCTCTTGCCTCTGTTCTGAGCACAAAGCTGGGCTCTGCAATCCTCGAGACAGTGGCGGGGGGCTTGCTGGCCCCCCAGAAGGGGCTGGGCCTGATGGACACAGGAGCCAGCCGAGCCCTTCCTGCTACCTGAACCGCTGGGGTTTTTGCCAGTCCTGAGCACAGAAAGAAGCCCTGTCATGATTGGGGTTGGATTTCCCACAGCCTGGAGGATTGGGCTAAGAATTAAGTAAAATTAAAATAAAATGTAACCTTTCTTGCATACCAGAGTTGCAGGCTAATGCTTGAGACCACCAGTGTTACTTTTGACACCAAATCCCCAGGTACGGCAATTCCAGCCCAGGAAGCCCTGGTGCGAGGAGCGGAGTTTACTCCGAGGAGGTCAGGGTAGCTGCACGGCTCATCCCATGTTCTGAGGAGTGGCCCGGCCTTGGCAGCCTCCGCTCTGTGCCCCAGTTCTTCCTCTCATTCTTCATGATCTTTTAAAGTCATTAGAACCTTTCGGTCACCCACAGATGACACACAACCTTGGTCCCAGACTTCATCCGAGCTAAGGAATTCTTATCACTGGGTGCTGCCATAACCCCATACATCAGTGTCAGGATGGTGGGGACGCTGGTGTAGAGAAACCCACTGCCCCACCGGCCATATCCAGAACAGCGTGGTCACATTCAGGACACTCCTTGGTAACAAGCAGCATGGTATGGGCCATGTTATGGCCGCAGTGGCAGCCTTCCTCATGCGTCCCTGCTCCCATATCTCGGTTATATCCACAGGCCATGTGCCGTGACTGCCCAAGCCCATCCAGGTTGGCATTGTGCAGGCCCACTTGGGTGAATTCCCTCAATGACACACTTTGGAGTGTGTACCTGTCCCTGTTGCTAGGTGCTACACCGCCGTATCTCCAAGGAAGGGCCAGCCAGCTCCCGAAGTCCTGGAGCCCACCCCTGTTCCCTGAGCTCCTGAGTCTTTGCTCACTCTCTTGGGAGTGCCTAGAGCTGTCTCTCCACTAAACAAGTCTCCTCCCAGGCAGGGACCCACATCTACACGTGCACCTCCTCCATCTGGTGTCCCCAGTGTCCCCATAACTCCTGATTTATGGGGTTCTGAGAGAACTCTGCAAACTTTACTACAGCGCCAGCCACAGAGCAGCAGCCCAGCTTGAGTTAATAACAGCACCCGAGGTAGAGAGGGAGCAGGCCTGTCCTCGGGCTGCTGCATGTGGCGGGGTCACCTGACTCCCTCTGTCCTCCTGGAGCAGGACCACAGCCTGTGCTGGAGGAAGGGCCTTCCGGGGTGGGTGTGTGTGTGGCTATAGAGAAGCTGCTGGTGCTATCATGCCCGAGGTTGTCTGTCTCCTGCCTTTCTGTGACAAGCTACTCTCTGCTTGCTTGTCTGACAAGCAGGCTCATGTCGAGTCTTTCAATTCAGAAAGATAAACATCCAGAGGTAAAGCTGCTCTGAAAGGAGACCAACCTTCAAATCACAGGGGAGGTAGGAAATGCACAAATAGCACCCTGGGGGCCCCGCATGTTCAGACCAGCATGGGGGCTGCCAGAGGCCCGCCAGGTGAAGCCAACCTAAGTCTCTGCTGCTCAGCTGGCCCCATCTCCCACAAAGCCACTGGAGAGGACCTGTGGCCTCAACAGTTGGTTGTGCATCACGGGCAGATTCGTGGGCTCCATCCTGGACCCCAGCAGTTGGCACCAACATGACTGGAAGTCTGAGGGGTGCTGGGTTTGGAGAGATGACGTTACCCAGGAGCTTCCCACCACAGGGGAGAACTTGAGCTTGGGATAGGCGCTGTAACAGTGCTGGGGGCAGGGGAGAGGCTATCTTAGAGGAAACAAGCATCTGCTGCAGGGAATTAGCAGGTGAGCTTTAAAAAATCCTGATGTCTCAGGCTGTTGTGGGGGCGTATGGTCACCGTCTTCTAACACTCTCCAGGTGGCTGTAGTGGGTGGCTGGTGCAGAGAGCCCCTGACATAACTGAGTCTTTGCCCCATGCCCAGTGGAGAATGCAGGGAGCTCTTTTCCCGTGAAGTAGGTGCCTATTTACCTACAGATGTGGGTAACTGAGTCAGAATGACATCCAGCTGTGGCTCTGACTACTGCATTTAATACATGGAGGTGAAAAGTGTGCTTGGATGTAGGCAGCAAAGATTTTCAGTCAAAATTTTTCTTTAAAAAGTAAGTTGCTTGATGTTAGAACAGAGCCTCTCCCGGCTCAAAGGTGGGGATGTGGGCTGCTCCCCGTTATTTTGCAGTCCACACACTGCTTCGGAAAGCACCCCTCACCCAAAAGACTCCACCGGGGCTCACTGTGGATCGAATGGGGATCACCCAGGTGTTGAGACACATAAGAAAGGGAGAAGTGCTGCCGTCTACTCCTGGAGACAGGGTGCGTGAGTGCAAGCACACACTCAGGAGGCGAGGCTGGGTCTGCCCCAGCTTTATGGAGCGGGGGACAGCCCTTACACCCATCCATCCCCCACCTCTCCTGACCAGGATGCACCCAGGCCCCCTTGGCTGGGAATCAATGGGCTGAGTCCCCTCTGCCACAGGGCTGCGTGCATACCAGGGAAGGGTTCCACTTTTTCTGCAGTGTAATGAATGTGTGTGAGGTCGCCGGGGGAAGGGCTTAGTCCTGTGGGTCTATCCACAGGAATGCAACTGGGTACGGTACTGCATGCCTGTAATCCTAGCACTCAGAGGCTGAGGCAGGAGGATCCCTGTGAGTTTGAGGCCAACTGGGGATAATCGAGTTCAAGGCAAACCTGGACTACATAGTGAGACCCCGTCTCAAAAACCAAAAAACGATACAACCACCACTAAGTGGAAAACTGACTACGGTGTGTCTGACATGCAAAGGAATTCCTTTTTTTTTTTTTTTTGTCTTTTTGAGACAGGGTCTTGCTATGTGGCTCAGGCCAGTCCTGAGCACAAAGATCCTCCTGCCTGAGCCTCCTGAACGCTGTGACTCTAGGCCTGTGCCACCACACGTGGCTAGGAGTCCCATTTTGAGAGCACATCCCTAAGTCAGATTCGTCTGGAATCCAGCAAAGTCCTACACAGTGCACCCACGACAGTTTTCCCCTGGGCTGTCGGGCAGGCAGGCCCTGGCTGCACAGCGCAGGTGTTGAGTGCCACCGTGCACGCACATCCTCTCTGAATGCTCTCTGTCTCATTCACTGGCCTGGGGGGCTGAGGGAAAGGCTCGCACTCGGAGGTCTCCCTCCCATGCAGGTGCTGCCTCAGCTTCCCCTGGGCTCCTCCATAGGACTCCACGACAGGGTGCAGTCCTGAGGCCGGCGCTGCCACTGAGCTTGGCAGAGGTCAGGATTTGCAGGTCAGAGTTGTGCATGACAGGAGAGACTGGCTCAGCCGCCCCATCCCCCAGCCTGACTTCCGTCTCCCTGCATGAATCACTGGGGACAGGGATTGGGAGGGAGCACAGAGGTCAAGACACCAGGCCAGGTCTGCCAAGCTCCACCACTGACTTGTTAGCTCCCCTAGCTTGCGCCACTTGCTCTTTATTTTCCAGTCTGTAAAAAAGAACTGCCCCCAACCAAGCTCACGAAAGGCCATGCCCACACCCTTCAACAGGGACAAAAGTCTGGCCTCAGTGTTCTCCAGCACCCCCGTAAGGCAGCTAGGCGAGGCAGGGGCGAGGGCCCCGTGGCGCTAGCACCCCGCTAGGGATTGTGCTTATCTAGATCAGATCTTGCTGTCTTCTAGCTGGACTCCTAGGGGTGCTGCGAATGGCTCTGGTTTACCTGGGGGAAGTTCTGTAGTCATAGGATATCCACGCATCTTAGCTACCCGGGAGCCGGGGACTCCACTGTGAGCACAGAAGGGTGGCAAAGTGCCACGCACAGAAACCACCCATTTCAGTTAATGAAGGTGTAGATGGTACCTGTGTAAGGAATCGGGAAAGCTCACACTTAAACAGCTGAGCGCGTCTTTATATACGGTTCCTAGACTCACTGTCCTTTTCACGTATTCTGTGGCAAGGGTCATGCATACCATTATAAATGAAAAGAGGAGTCTGCATACAGCCCTTCGGTGTGAGTGGCTGTGGGCCACCTTCCGTATTCCCTGCACTTCCATTTGAGGTGGTGTCCACCCCACTCCGGACCTAAAACCCACACATAACACACCCTCCTGACCAGCGTTTGCTGAGAAAGCTGCTGGAGGAGACCGTGGGGCGTGGTGGTGGGAGAAGGGGCCGCTGGGACACTGCAGCCTGCTCACAGGCTGTGTAACTCAGGCAAGTGACTTACCTAAAGAGCCTCCACCTCCTTGAAGCATGAGGATAAATGCCCCCTTGTGGCCCTTTCCATGTGTAGGAACAGCATGGAATCGGTCTAGCAGGGGGCTGGGAAACTGGGCCTCAACAGCTATGGAACTGCTGTTACCAACAGACGTAGAGCCAAGACTGAAGAGAGCTGGCCAGGATGGCCCTGAAGTCTGGGAGGGCCGCCTGCC